GATCTGAAGGATATGTTGAATAGTTTTGGCTTCAACATATTGATGAAGTGAAATATTCCATATTCCATCGTCCTTAAGAAAATTTGTCACTTTTTCATTCCCCGCCAATTCTGTTATTTGTGGTTTTAGTTTCGGGCAACCATCTGACAGGGATGGGATCCAAGGGTCTTCTTTGTTTATGAGAGTCTCATTTCGAATATGCCAAAACAAATTTTCCCTGAATTGATTCAATAGATCAACTGCAGATTTCCACCATTTTGAGTCATTTGTCTTCTTGTTTAGCATAAATATTGATTTATTTCTGATGTACTTCTTTCGAATGGCCTCTACCCATAGGCCCGATTGTTTAGTTAATAATCTCCAAACCTGTTTAGAAAATAATTCCTTATTGAATTCCTCAATCCTTCTAAAATCCAAACCTCCCTCTCTTTTTGTTTTACAGATTTGTTCCCATGAAATAGTATGCAAACTTCTCTTTTCAGAGGAACACTCCCACAAAAAATTCCTTTGGATCATTTCCATCTCTGTCACTATTTTCTTTTGTAGGATTCTTGTAGACATTAAATATACAGGCACTGCTTGTAAAATAGATTTGACCAGTGTTGTTCTCCCAGCTTGTGAAAATAGTTTTGATTTCCAGGCTACTAATCTGTCATTCAGTTTTCTATGATCTCCCAGTGGCTGTTGTTGGACCTACCCTGAAAGCATATCCTTGTACCCAAATATTTTTCTTGACTGTGCATTTGTCTCATTTGTAGGATATTGAGAATGATTTTTCTTTCCTTCTATGAATCCCTTTACTAAAATATATACTTTATTTAGCACAGTTAATTCTTTCTCCTGACCATTTTGCAAATACAGCCGATATTTCCTTTATCTTTCTTAATTGGGCAGGTTCATCCTTGCAGCAAATAACACAATCATCATCAAATAATAGGTGGGTTATTATAGGAGGACCATCTCTACTTAATTTTATTCCCCAGATCTGACCATTAACTTCAGCTTTATTTAGAAGGCATGATAAATCTTGCATTCTAATTATGAACAGGTACGGGGATAAGGGATCCCCCTGTCTTATTCCCTGTTCTAATGGAAAAAATTCCTTCATAACCCCATTTATCTTTATTGAAAATCTTGGGGTTTTTATGTAGTATCCAACCATCTTACACCATTTTTCTTCAAACCCATCTCTTTCATCATCTCCATAATGAAATCCATTCTGATCCTGTCATATGCACTTTATCTGTCTTTATGAGAATCCAAACCTTTTCCCTTTTCCCTTTTCCCTTTTTGTTTTTTTTTTTTTTCATTTTTGCTATAATTTCCTAAACCAGAACTATGTTGTCCGTACCTTGTCTACCTTTCACAAAAGCTGCTTGATTAGGTTCAATTATTTTCTCAAGAATATTTTTCATTCCATGGACCAAGGATGTAGACAAGGTTGGTTGAGTTTATTTCAGGAGGGAATTTTGTTATTTCAAAAAATTCCTAAACTATTTTACACACATCCTGTTTAATGGTGGGATAGAACTTTTGATAGAAGAATGGTGTAAACCCATTCAGACCTGGAGGTTAATGTGTCTTTGATGACTTTACAATTTGGTATATCTCCTCATTTGATGGAGAAATGAGTAATTGGACCGCTTCCTCTTGAGAGCTTTTTTTATTTATTAATCCCTGTAGGTCCAAATCCGAATTCCATTGGGAGTTACTGATATGACAAGCA